TTCTGCTTCTCCTAATATACATTTCCCTAAATCCTGGACTGCCATCTTTTTCCTTTAAACCAATACATCCGGCACACCCTATCCTCTAACAGCGGCCGCAATCCACACAATCTGGTTACTATTCCTCTTCTTCCTAGGACCAGCCTCTCCTTTTCCTGTGCCCTTTGGAATGCCCACTTTGTCTGTAACAAACTCATCTCTGCCCATGACCTTTTTTATCACAAACTCCTTTAACCTGCTTGCAATTACGGAAACCTGGCTTCATGAATCTGACTTTCCCTCTTCTTCTGCCCTATTCCATGGTGGTCTGCTCTGGACTCACTGTCCCAGGCCTAGTGGACAAAAGAAGGTGGAGTTGGAATCCTCCTATCCCCACAAAGCACTTTTCAGGTCTTTCATTCACCTCCCTCTCTGTCCCTCTCCTCATTTGAAGTTCACTGTATTCGTCTATTCTTTCCAGTTTCATTAAGAATTGTTGTGATCTATCGGCCTCCTGGATCAGTATCAAGCTTCCTTGGTGACTTCTTAGCCTGGCTGCCTTATTTTCCCTTTTCTGAAATTCCCACACTCGTTTTTGGCGACTTCAACATCCCTGTTAATCTTAACACTCATGCTACTTCTAACTCCTAAGCCTAATCACTTCTTTTGACCTAAAACAATGGACACATGCTTCTACTTACTCCAATAGTAACTGTCTCGACCTTGTATTCTCCTACCTATGCACTCCTTGCAACCTCACCATCTTTCCTTTTCCTCGCTCTGATCACTCCCTTATTGGCTTCACTCTGTCCTTGGCTTCCTCCTCCTTGTCTTCCAACTACCAAACAGTTACCCGTAGAAACCTTTGCTATCTTAACCACTCTCTTCTTTTTTCAGCAACAGATTGTCTCTATGACAAAATCTCAGCCCTGTCCTGCCCCAACCTGGCCACTTCTGTCTACAACAGTTCACTGTCATCCACCGTGGACACATTGTGCCCCCTCCTATACATAGAATTAGGCCCCGACCACTACAGTCCTGGCAAACAGACAATACCAGATGCCTCAAAAACATAGCCATGCTCTGGAGCATTTATGACATAAGACAGGAGCAAGACTTCGACCAATATAAATTTACCCTTCAAAAATACCACTCCTGTCTCCATACTGCCAAACAGACCTATTTTATCACTCTCATTAACACCCTCTCATGCAATTCCCGTCAAAAGCCCACCTAACCACCTGTCCCCTGGACCCTGTTCCCTCATAGATACTATGGTCACTCTTTGGCTCTATCCTTCACAATTTAACTCATATCTTCGATCTCTCCCTTTCTACTGGCATCTTCCTCAACTCTCTAAAACATGCGCTAGTCACCCCCATACTTAAAAAGGCCTCACTGGACCCCACCAATCTTAGCTACCTAAGACCTATCTCTCTACTACCTTTTGCCTCCAAACTCCTTGAATGTCTAGTCTACAACTGGCTGAGCTGCCACCTATTGAGATTAACCTTCTCAATCCCCTTCAGTCTGGATTTTGCCCACAACACTCCACAGAAACTGCTCTCCTAAAACTCAAAAAATTCTTGCTAACCGCTAAAACGAATGGTCACTATTCCATACTCTTACTCTTGGACCTCTCCACTGCCTTTGACACAGTTGACCACCCCCTCCTCCTCACAAAACTCTATTTACTTTGTCTCCATGACTGTGCTCTCCATTAGTTTGAATCTTACCTATCTCACCACACCTTCAGTGTCACTTAAAACTCTACCTCCTCCTCTCCTACTCCTCTTACTGTCAGGGTCCCCCAAGGTTCTACCCTTGGGCCTCTCCTATTCTCGATCTACACCTCTTCCTTGGGTCAGCTGATAGCTTCCCATGGTTTCCAATACCATTTCTATGTTGATGACACACAAATCTATGTCTCTACTCCTTAACTCACCCCATAAGATTCCTCATGTATCTCCAATTTACTAACAGACATATCAGACAGGATGTCACACCACTTCATAAAACTCAATCTATCCAAAACTGAGATCATAATATTTCCTCCCCCACGTACCTCTTCCCCTGTTTTCTGTCAGGATCAATAGCACCACTATCAACCCATCCCCGCATGCCACAGTGCTAGGGGTAACCATGGATTCTGAGCTATCCTTTCAGGCTCACATCCAATCCCTGTCCAAATCATGCCACCTCAACCTCCGCAACATCTCCAGAATACGCCCTTTTTTTAACCAATGATACCACAAAGCTCCTAATTCACTCCCTGGTTATCTCACGCCTCGCCTACTGCAATTCCATCCTCATTGGCTTATCTTTACATAGGCTATCCCCCCTCCAGTCCATCATGAATATTGCTGCCAGGCTCATCCACCTTACCAATCGTTCAGTGTCTGCTACCCCTCTCTGCCAATCCTTCCACTGGCTTCCACTAGCCCAATGAAACAAATTCAAAATACTAACAACAACTTACAAAGCCATCCACAACTCTGCCCCCAGCTAAATCACTAACCTGGTCTCAAAATATCTACCAAACCACTCTCTTCAATCTTCCCAAGACCTTCTGCTCTCTAGTTCCCGTGTCACCTTCTCCCATGCCCGCCTCCAGGACTTCTCCCGAGCTTCTCTCATCCTATCGAACTCCCTACCCCAATCTGTCCGACTATCTCCTAATCTATCCACCTTTTGACGATCCCTGAAAACCGTGCTCTTTAAAGAAGCCTATCCTGCTTCTAACTAGTAAACTGCCTTTTATTTCCTCCATCAGCTCATCCCCCCACAGCTATTACCTTTTGTATCACTCAACCCTTCCTCCTAGATTGTAAGCTCTAATGAGCAGGGCCCTCTGTCTCCTCTTGTACCATATTGTATTGTAACTGTTATGTCTGCCTTCATTTTGTAAAGTGCTGAGCAAACTGTTGGTGCTATATAAATCCTGTATAATAATAATAATAATCTACCAGCAAGGATCCCCTCCCAGAAAACATTCACTCTGATTGTGTAAGCAGACTTCACAAGCAACATTTTCCAGAAAACATTCCACCCACAGAATCAGGAAGGAGATGCCAAAAAAAAATGTTGGTATGCGGCAGAAGAGGAGAGACAGTAGTGTCCATTGTCCCCAGTGTCCCTCCCAACCGGGCCTATATATCGGAGACTGCTTTTGAAGTTATCACACATCACTAAAATATTAGTTCCCCTTATTTTTAACAGCCTACCATTTCCCAGTTTCTAAAATCCATGCTGATCATTCGCCTGCTGCCTTGATTGACCATGCCTTTGCCTTCCACGTTAACGGACCCTGGCCTGTTTACCGACGATGCCTCTGCCTGCTGTCAGATTGTTTCTAAACCACTTTTCTGCCTTCTACCTGAACTGACCCTAGCCTGTTTACTGACAATGATTTTGCCTGCAGTCTGGATTGTTTCTAAATGTCAGGGCTCCAGGGTATGACCAGAGGTATGTGAACTGACGCAGGGAAACGCAGGCTTCAGATATGTTATAAACAATATAATTTATTAACACTAACAATACATAAACGCAGTGCAATACTAAAACATAACACAGTGCAAACGAACCAAACCAACCACCCACAGATAACAATACATACAATGCAAGCGTCGTCAGGCAGGCCGGGTCAATAACAATCGGGCAGGTAGGAACAGGAGGAGCAGGCAGAGAGTAGTCAGGTCACGAGCCGGGTACAGCAACTAACGGGCAGGTAGGTACAGGGGGTCAGGCAGAGAGTGGTCGGGGTCACAAGCCAGGGATCAAACAGGAGAAGTCAGCAGAGGTCCGGATCAGGCAGGGTCAGCAACGAATCAGTCAGACAGGAACAGGAACAGGGGCCCATAGAAAAGCACACACCAAGGCCCAGACTGCAGGTCTGGCCATCCCTTAAATACACCTGCATAATCAGCTTCAGGTGTTTGGCTGGCTGCACGGTTGAGTCTCTGATTGCTGAGAGCACCCGCTGGCCAGCCCTGGTACTGCAGCCCAAAAGGCAGGTGAGTCCCACCATTACTGGCAAGTCCATTCCTGACAGTACCCCTCCCCTCAAGGAGCGGCCTCAGGACGCTCCAAACAGTCCTAGCTGGGCAAAATGTTCCACCGCCAGGGTCTGGTAACTGGCGGGATATCAAAGACTGGCACATTGGGCAGACTCCGGGCAGCGGCACATGGGGGACTGGACTCCGGGCAGCGGGGCAGCATGGGCTGGACTCCGGGCAGCGGGCACATCGGGCTGGACTCCGGGCAGCGGCACATCGGGCAGGACTCCGGGCAGCGGCACATCCGGCAGGACTCCGGGCAGCGGCACATCGGGCAGGACTCCGGGCAGCGGGCACATCGGGCAGGACTCCGGGCAGTGGCACATCGGGCAGGACTTCGGGCAGCAGCACACATCGGGCAGGACTCCGGGCAGCGGCACATCGGGCTGGACACCGGATCACCAGGCAGAGCAGCAGGCACCAGGCCACCAGGCGGAGCAGCAGGCACCAGGCCACCAGGCGGAGCGGCAGGCACCAAGCCACCAGGCGGAGCGGCGGGCGCCGGGCTCTCCCCGGCGGAGCAGCAGGCACCGGGCCCCCAGGCGGGGCAACAGGCCTCGGGCCCCCAGGCGGGGCGACAGTCGGGCCCCCAGGTGGGGCCCCCCCCCCAGGCCGAGCGGCGGGCACCGGGCCCCCAGGAGGGGTGGCAGGCACTGGGCCCCCGAGCAGAGCGACAGGCATCGGGCCCCCAGGCGGGGGCGGCGGGCGCTGGGCCCCCAGGCGGAGCAGCAGGCGCCGGGCCCCCAGGAGGGTCGACAGGCATCGGGCCCCCAGGCGGAGCGACAGGCATCGGGCCCCCAGGCAGGGCGATGGGCGCCGGGCCCCCAGGTGGAGCGGCGGGCGCCGGACCCCCAGGAGGGACAGCAGGCACCGGGCCCCCAGCGGAGCGGCGGGCACCGGGTCATCAGGCACGACAACGGGCATCGGGTCACCAGGAATCAGGTCATTTGGCTCGCCAGCGGGCACCGCGTCATCTGGCAAGACAGTGGGCACCGAGTCACTAGGCACGACAGTGGGTTCTGAGTCAACTGGCATGACCACGGGCACTGGGTCAGACATTGGATCGTCTGGCTCGACAGCAGGCATCGGGTCACCAGGCATCAGGTCATTTGGCTCGACAGCGGGCACCACGTCATCTGGCAAGGCAGTGGGCACCGAGTACCAGGCACGACAGTGGGCTCTGAGTCAATTGGCAAGACAGCGGGCACCGGGTCATCAGGTACCGGATTGTCTGGATCGACAGCGGGCACCGGGTCATCTGGCATTGGATCGTCTGGCTCAACAGTGGGCATCGGGTCACCAGGCATGACAGCTGGCACTGGGTCACCAGGCATCAGGTCATTTGGCTCGCCAGCGGGCACCATGTCATCTGGCAAGGCAGTGGGCACCGAGTCACCAGGCACGACAGTGGGGCTCCGAGTCAACTGGCATGACCACGGGCACTGGGTCAGACATTGGATCGTCTGGCTCGACAGCAGGCATCGGGTCACCAGGCATCAGGTCATTTGGCTCGACAGCGGGCACCACGTCATCTGGCAAGGCAGTGGGCACCGAGTCACCAGGCACGACAGTGGGCTCTGAGTCAATTGGCACGACAGCGGGCACCGGGTCATCAGGTACCGGATCGTCTGGATCGACAGCGGGCACCGGGTCATCTGGCGTTGGATCGTCTGGCTCGACAGCGGGCATCGGGTCACCAGGCATGACAGCGGCACTGGGTCACCAGGCATCAGGTTATTTGGCTCGCCAGCGGCACCGCGTCATCTGGCAAGGCAGTGGGCACCGAGTCACCAGGCACGACAGTGGGCTCCGAGTCAACTGGCATGACCGCGGGCACTGGGTCAGACATTGGATCGTCTGGCCCGGCAGCGGGCATCGGGTCACCAGGCATGACAACGGGCACTGGGTCATCAGGCATTGGATCGTCTGGCTCGACAGCGGGCATCGGGTCACCAGGCATGACAGCGGGCACGGGTCATCAGGTACCGGATTGTCTGGATCGACAGCGGGGTACCGGGTCATCTGGCGTTGGATTGTCTGGCTCGACAACGGGCATCGGGTCACCAGGCATGACAGCGGGCACTGGGTCATCAGGTACCGGATCGTCTGGATCGACAGCGGGCATCGAGTCAACTGACCTAATAGGATCATCAGGCTGGATCAGTTCATCAGGCTGGGTAGAAACATCATGCTGAATGGAGACATCAGGCTGAATGGAGGCATCAGGCTGAATGGAGGCATCAGGCTGGGTAGAGGCATCAGGCTGGGTAGAGGCATCAGGCTGAATTGTGGGCGCCGAGGCACCAGGCTGCACCACGGAAGGCAGGTTCTCAGATGGGAGGCTGACCGGTTTGGATACTGGCAGGATGGTATTGGTTGGAAAGAACTTTTGCCTTTTCCTGGTTTTAGTTACCGGAGCACTGTAAGTAAGCGCAGGTTTTGTAAACGGATGGAGCAGCTGGAGACAGAGAAGAGCTGGAGGATGGAACAGGGGAGGGAACAGTTGCTACAGAGGGCTTCTTTACAGGGTTAAAGGCAGGATAGGTGCAGCGAGTGGGAACAGGGTACTGACATGCGGTAGATAGCAGGGTATACTGGGCTGTAACTGGAGGTGCTGTTGGGAATGCAGGAATAGAGCTTTGAAGAAATAGATTAGAAGCAGGACTGGGCTTTTGCAAGCTGACTAAGGCTGGGTGCAACAAGTCTGACCATGTCTGCAGTATGGGTTGAACAAAGCTCAGCTTACACAAAGCCTGTCTGACCAAAGACTGCACTGCGTTTATACAATCCCTTAATACCTGTGGTGAACATGCAGCATAATGCTCCAAGAAGCAATCCACATCATCCTCTAATAACCATACCAGGGACTCTACCTGGTCTGCACTAAATGGTGGCAAAAAGTCATTCCTGCTTTCAGGGGTACCAGATGAAGCCAACTCTACACAAACCTGAATCAAAGGTTGCACCTCAGAGAACTCTGTGTGCCCTGATCTACTAGAACATGAGCGATCCGTATACATTCTAGCAGTTGATCCCGGGTATACTCCCTCAGAGCCTGATAAGCATATTCTCTGTCATCAAAAACCAGCAGCGACAAATACACAACCTCATCAAGATCCATCCTTCCCAGCAACAAGCCATATGGCTTCCCTGTGCAGCCACTTCTGGTCAGGATTGGCCTTGGTGTAATGTCAGGGCTCCAGGGTATGACCAGAGGTATGTGAACTGACGCAGGGAAACGCAGGCTTCAGATATGTTATAAACAATATAATTTATTAACATTAACAATACATAAACGCAGTGCAATACTAAAACATAACACAGTGCAAACGAACCAAACCAAACCACCCACAGATAACAATACATACAATGCAAGCGTCGTCAGGCAGGCCAGGTCAATAACAATCGGGCAGGTAGGAACAGGAGGAGCAGGCAGAGAGAGTAGTCAGGTCACGAGCCGGGTACAGCAACTAACGGGCAGGTAGGTACAGGGGGTCAGGCAGAGAGTGGTCGGGGTCACAAGCCAGGGATCAAACAGGAGAAGTCAGCAGAGGTCCGGATCAGGCAAGGTCAGCAACGAATCAGTCAGACAGGAACAGGAACAGGAACAGGGGCCCATAGAAAAGCACACACCAAGGCACAGACTGCAGGTCTGGCCATCCCTTAAATACACCTGCATAATCAGCTTCAGGTGTTTGGCTGGCTACAGGGTTGAGTCTCTGATTGCTGAGAGCACCCGCTGGCCAGCCCTGGTACTGCAGCCCACAAGGCAGGTGAGTCCCACCATTACTGGCAAGTCCATTCCTGACACTAAATCACGTTTCTGCCTTCTACCTGCACTGACCTTGGCCTGTTAATCAACCATGTTTTTTGCCTGCCGCTTGAACTGATCTTTTGCCCTGCTACTGTAGTAGTGGGATGCAAGATAACACAGGGGTCTCACATATGTGACATCTTGCTTACTACTTTGCATGTGATCACTGATTGGCCAATCAGTGATCACATGATCGGGACCTCGTACAGAGGTCCCGTCCGACAATCGGTGTTTCACTGTGTCCGGAGGATACAGCGGGCACCGGATCGAGGTGCTGCGCGCTCCTGGGGAGCGCGCACAAGCAGGGTGCGGCTAGGCCGTTTATAAACGGCCACCCGAACCCTGAAGTGCCACCGTCCGGCCGTTTATATACAACGGCCGGGTCGGGAAGTGGTTAAAAATAATGCCTGCTATTGTCACTAACATTCAGGGTTATATATTAAAGGTTTGCTCGATGAATGTGACACACATCTGCACAACACCATTGAAACTTGCCATATCTGGTATAATATAATTCTTGTATGATCATAAGTCCCATCTAGAGGCCATAATACAGTATTTGCTTTTTAATACCTCAATGAGGAAAAAAATGTATTGTGGCCATTAGCTGGCCGATTTTAAGTAAATTGTAAGTTATTGCTGCAATATTTGCCCAATATTAACATGACTTTATTTTATTTATCAATGTATTTATTTACTTTTGGTGCCTTCAGAGAGCTATTGATAGACTGAAGGATAGCTCCCATCCTGTGAATGCCTTGTTTGCAGTGTTGCCTTCTGGCAGGCTATATAGGAATATCTCCTCTTGTTCCACTATCTTCATTGCCCATACAGTTTTTGAATACTGTAGTATTTTTAGGGTTCAATTAAATGTGTAGTATGTGTTTATGTGATATATGAAGGGCTTTTTTCAGCTGGAAATTTTGGCTCAGGCTCTCTGCTCCCTGCTCACCCCTATCAAGGCTGGCTTCTGTGTTTACAAGTGACAGCTTGTCTCCCAAGAGCTCTCAAAAATCAAGCAGATCCCACTGAGTGCAGGAAGGAAACAAGAGGGATGTAGATGCCCGGGGTGCAGTGTGGTCATGGGTGGGAGGGAGCATCGTTTGGTAGGCTGACCCTCTGTGATCCCAGTTTGTCCCTGGTGACAGGATGCCAACACCCCTGTTGGATGATCTCCCTGTAAGTAACAGAGCTTCCTACATTGTGTGGGGAAATACTATAGCCAGCTGGGTGGTTCAGTACATAAACCACTTTGTTTTCACAAAACAATGGCCTGTCCCATAAATTTATAGAACTTAAGAAATAAGTTAAATGAAATACAGTCACTATATATCAGGAGGCACAGTCTGTGTATTTAATGAGTGGCTACGGTAGCTCCAATGAACACACATATTTACAATAATAAAAAAACTAAAGTGTATATAGACCCCAAAACAAAAAGTTATATAGTATATTGCAACTAACAAATCCTTAGATAAAGTAGATGCATTCCTCTTTCTCTCTTTATCTTCACTACAAGGAGGGTGAGAAATTAATGCCATTAGTTTAACCACTTGCCCTCCAGAGGATTTACCCCCCTTCCTGACCTGGCCATTTTTTGCTATACTGCGCTGCATTACTTTAACTGACAATTGCATGGTCATGCCACACTGTACCCAAATGAAATGTACTGTATTTTTCGCCGTATAAGACGCACTTTTTCTTCCCCAAAACTGGGGGGGAAATGTCAGTGCGTCTTATGGAGCGAATATGGAGCGGCTGGTCCGGTATTTCCACCGCGGCCAGGTCAGAATACCGAGCCGGCCGCTCAGCTCTGCAGCGGGACCTTACCTGTTCCTCTATCCAGCGGCGTGCTGTCTTCCCGGCTTCTGTAGTGTGGGCACTGGGCATGACAGCCGGGTGCCAAGTGCGCATGCGCAAGAAGCGGTGCTTTTTGTGAATGGTAAGGCGGTACCTGGGACACATGACAGATCCCAGAAGCCGCCGGACCAATCACAAAGCGCAAGTGCTTCTCGCTCATGCGCACTGGGCACCCGGCTGTCATGCCGAGCGCGCCATTACAGAAGCCGGGAAGACAGCGCGCGGCTGGATCGAGGAACAGGTAAGATCAAACAAAAAACTCTGCGGAAGTAAGAGCGGGTACCTGTCAAATTCAGGTACCCGCTCCCCACCTCCCTAAAGGTCAGCAGTCATCTGTACTGTCCGCAGTCTCTGGTCATCCCTGTGCTGTCCGCAGTCTCTGGTCATCCCTGTGCTGTCCGCAGTCTCTGGTCATCCCTGTGCTGTCCACAGTCTCTGGTCATCTCCTGTACTGTGTCCGCAGTCCATTAGTTCAGAATTTTTTTTTTCCTGTTTTCTGCCTCTAAAATCTAGGTGCGTCTTATAGTCAGGTGCGTCTTATACGGCGGAAAATCCGGTATGTCCTTTTTCCCCACAAATAGAGGTGGTATTTGATCGCCTCAGTGTTTTTTTATTTTTTGCACTATAAACAAAAAAAGACAGACAATTTTGAAAAAAAAAAATATGTATATTTTTTTACTTTTTGCTATAAAACATATCCAGTAAAAACATTTAAAAAATCAAATTTCATCATAAATTTAGGCCAAAATGTATTCTGCTACACATCTTTGCTAAAGAAAATCCAAAATACATGAAAATGAATTGGTTTACTTGAACGTTATAGCATTTACAAATGGCGGTATATATACTGGAATTTTTATTTTTATTTTTTTTTTATACTAGTAATGACAGCGATCAGCGACTTATAGCGAGACTGCGGCAGGCATTCTAACACTGGGGGGAACTGACTAACTGCCACTGATATCCCCAGTGGCACTAATACAGTGATTAGTGCTAATTAAAAGCACTGACACTGCACTAATGGCACTGGGAAGGAAGGGATTTACATCTGGGGCGATCAAAGGGTTAACTGTGTGCTGTTTTACTAAGGAAACATACTGCTTTGTATTGCTCTGCTATGTGGTGCTGACAAGGGAGAGATCTGTGTTGTTTACACACAGATCTCTCCCTTTTCACTGTTCCTCGACGATAGCCGGTTGCTGGCGGGGAATCTCTGCCCAGGACCCGGTGATCGACAGCTGTAGCTACCAATGGCGGCGTTGGGAAATGCAAAATCATGTATATATATATATATAAGTTATTTTGCACAGCACTGCCACCCTGTAGCAGTAGTTCAGCTATAGGGTGGCAAAGAACCAGTTAAAGAAGGGAAGTGGCTTTGTACTTCTGTATGTGATTTCAGTTGAGCTCACAAGAGGTATCAATGCAACTGCATTTCTGGCAACGTCATAATTGATTTGCTTTAGTTCCTGAAAAATGACAAATAATGCACTCACAACACCTAAACATTGGAAGGCTGCAATATATTTTTCTAGGATTTAAACATCCTTTCATAGTTTTACCCCTGATTCACACTAGTCCAAGTGCTGCTGGCTGGTTGCGAGTGTGGGAAAGCATGCGAGACGCATCTCTTAAGAGACGCGTGGGGTGCCATTCATTCTATATAGCACCCCCATGCATCTCATCCCGCAGTGTGATCAAGCAGCAATCGCGGGTGCAGGAAGATCATATAGTTTCCGTGCGAATGCATTTTGGAAAGGGTGCATGTACCTTTTCCTAACACACAGGGCACAGGGCTCAAGACTGCATATTGAACAGGGTACAGGGCAAAGGAGAATCTAATGCACCAGGTGAGGCAAAGGTTGTGGCAGAGAACAAAGGACCCATCTTAACCAGTGGCTCCTTTGGGGG